AAAAACGGGCCTACTGGAGGTTATCGCCCCCACAGTCTGGGTCCTCATTTCACCCACCTCGGAAGGATGGAAGGCTGAGTCAACCTTGAGCCAGTGAGATTTGAACAGCCGAACTGCAGTCAGCTGAAGTAGCCTGCAGTGCTGCACTCTAACCACTGCGCCATCTGGGCCTCTCCAGCCCAGATCTCAGAGTGACCAGCAGAAGCCAGCCAAGCGAAGCCAGAAGCCGGCTGGGGTGGGCCTGCCAGAGCTAAGGAATGCCCACCCGTATTCCCTGCCCATACTGGATGCTCACCTGGGTGACGATGACGGGGGACATGTCCTTCAAGTTCTGGATGTGGGAAAGCAGGGAGTCGCGGAGGGAGACGTGGGAATCGGTGGGGAGCTCATAGAACGAGGTCTGGATTTTCATCTTCATGGTTTGGGCTGCGAAGTAGCAGGACTCCACGTCCTGATGGATCTGTAGCAAGTGGTCGGAGATCTCCCAGGCGTGGACCTTTTGGGGGAGGGGGAGGAGAGGGAGGGGGAGAGAGGGAGAGAAATGCCATCAGGAGCCAAGAGACGAAGGCGCAGTCAGCGTTCTGAAGGACAAGGGCTCAGCCATAGTTGAGGGGGTTGGACTAGAAGACCTCTAAGGTCACTTCCAACCCGATGAGTCTAAACCTTCCCAGATCTCCCCCAGATCCTACAGAAGTAGTGTCCTAGTGCCAGAGAGGGGGGGGGGGTGAGAGAGAGAAGGAAAGAGGGAGAATGAAGAAAAGAAAAAAGAAGAGAAAGAAAAGAAAAAGAAAGAGAGGAAGGGAAAGGGAAGAAAGGAAGGAGATGGGAATGAAAGTAAGGAGGTGTGGCAGGAGATGGGAATGAGGAAAGATGGAAGAAAGGATGGAAGGAGAAAGAGGAAGGAAGGAAAGAAGGAAAGAAGAGAGGGGAGAAAGAAGAAGAAAGAGCAAGGAAGGAATGAGAAAGAGGAAAGGAGGAGGAAATGAGGGAAGAAGGGAAGAAAAGAGGGAAGGAAGGAAGGAAAGAAAAAAGGGAAGAAGAAAGGGCAAGGAAGGAAGGCAGGAAGGATGGAAGGAATGCTACTTTTGCACAGAGGTTCTTTTTCTCCAGCACCCATGACTGAATATTTGGGAGTCCAATGTTGCTCCCCAAAGCATCACCACGCAACAGGATCCGAGAACAGCAAAACCTGACTGCAAATACCCAACCAAACACTCTATCTGGAGGCTGCCACAGGGCACTGCATGCCCAAACAACCAGACACAGAGACCGGTTGCTTTCCCCTCCGTGCCCATCCCTCGGCTGAACCCCGGATTCTCATGGTGCTGTCTAACGTCTATGCGCATTTATCAACGTCTCAGAAAGGGTCACAAGTCACTTTTTTTTAAAAGGTGCTTTGCAACTTCGAATGGTCTGTGGCAGAACTGTCGTAAGCTGAGGAGTGTCTGTAATGCAAGATTAGAATCAGACTAAGAGCTGGGAGGAACCTTGGAGGTCTTCTAGACCAGCCCCCTGCACATGCAGGAGATCCTAGATACCATTTCAGACAAGTGGCTGTCCAGGCTCTTCTTGAAAACTTCCAGTGATGGAGCACCCACAACTTCTGGTGGCAAAGAGTTCCACTGACTGATTGTCCTCACTGTCAGGACATATTTCTTCTTAGTTCTAGGTTGGCTTCTCTCCTTGATTAGTTTCCATCTATTGTTCCTTGTCTTGACCTCAGGTACTTTGGAGAATAGGCGGGGAGGGAGGTCTTCTTTGGGGCAGCCCCTCAAATATTGGAAGACTGGTATCGTGTCCCCTCTAGTCCTTCTTTTCTCTAGACTGGCCATACTTAAGTTCCTTCAACCGTTCTTTCATTTTTTTAGTCTCCAGGCCTTTGATCCTCTTCGTTGCTCTTCTCTGCGCTTTTCCCAAAGTCTCCGCATCTTTTTTGCAACGTGGTGACCAGCAACTGGATGCAGGATTCCAGATGTGGCCTTACGAAGGCTTTATAAAGCGGTACTAAGACTTCACCTGATCTGGATTCTAGGCCTCTGGTTACACAACCAAGGATCGCATTAGCGGCCCGTAGGATCGGCAAGAGTTGGACACAACGGAACGCATATCATCATCATCCCACCGAGTAGGGGGCAAAGGATGGAGAACCTATGGGCCTCCAGAGGTCCAGAAGCCACAGAAAACCTTGCCTTGGCCGGTGTTTGCCCTGCTTGTAGGATGCAACAGCTGGGAGGCCGAGGGCTTCCCAAACTCGCCCCAGCTGACCGCGGGAAGAATGGGGGCGGACACCTGAAAGCCGATTCTTGCTGGGCCAGCCAAGAGTGTTTCATTTTCTTTGCGGCTGGAAGCCAGAGTCCCGAAGTAGGGCAATGCCCTTGCCAACAACTCCAGCAATTATGGGAGAACCTGGCCAAGAAAATATTTGTTCCCACGCTTTGGAGATGGATTGGTGGCGTAGCTCAGTTTCCTGGTGTGAGATAAAATTAACAAGAGTCGGGAAGGGACTTCAGAGGTCTTCGAATCCAACCCCCTGTTCAAATGGCTGCTCTTAAAAACAGCGAGGGTGCACCCACAACTGCTTGTGGCAAGCTGTTCCACTGATTTAATTGTTCTAATTCTTAGGAAATTGCTCCTTGATTTCAGATTGCTTCTCTTCTTGGTTAGTTTCCATCTATTGCTTCTTGTCCTGGAGAACAGGTTGACCCCCTTTTCTTTGGGGCAACCCCTGAGATATTGAGAGACTGCTATCATGTCTCCCCATGTCCTTCTTTTCATTAAACTAGACCAGTGGTTCCCAAACTTGGCAACTTTAAGACTTGTGGACTTCANCCTTTCTTTTTTATCTAAACCTTTTTGAAACTGCTGGGATCAAAGAGCAATTCGGGCTCCCTTTTTCCCAAGTGGAATTTTTTCCTTTTTTTTTCTTTCCGATTGCAAATTCTCACAGGGAGGGGGGGGGAGGGAGGGAGTCAAAGTGCCACGAAAGGGGACGAGGCAAAAATGGCCAGGCAGAACCAGGGGGGGGGGAATTAACCCCACGCCTGGCGGTTTAAAAACTGCAATAATTTTCCTTTTGTGCATAGCTACATATGGACAGAGAGAGAGAGACAAGGAGGGAGACAGAAAGGCAGAGAATGAGGGAGAGAGAGAAAGAGAGACACCGAGAGACAGAAAGAGACATGGAAAGAAAGAGAGAGAGAGAGAGAGACACAGAGAGTGACAGGGAGAGAGAGAAAAAGAGAGACAGAGAGAGAAATAGAGACACAGAGAAAGAGAGACATGGAGAAAAAGAAAGACATAGAGAGACAGAGACAGAAAGAAAGAGACAGATAGAGAGAAACAGAGAAAAAGAGATAGAGAGATGGGAGAGAAAGAGACGTAGAGACAGAAAGAGACAGAGAGAGAGAAACAGAGAAAGAGAGAGAGAGACATGGAGAAAGAGAGAGACATAGAGAGAGACAGAAAGAAAGAGACAGAGAAAAAGAGAGAGAGAGAGAAAGAGAGACATGGAGAAAGAGAGAGACATAGAGATAGAAAGAGAGAGACATAGAGACAGAAAGAGAGAGAGACAGAGAGAGAGACATGGAGAAAGAGAGAGACATAGAGAGACAGAAAGAGACATAGAGACAGAAAGAGACAGAGAGAGAAACAGAAAGAGAGAGAGAAACAGAGAGAAAGAGAGAGAGAGAAACAGAGAGAAAGAGACATAGAGACAGAAAGAGACAGAGAGAGACAGAAAGAGAAAGAAAGAGAGAGAGATGGAGAGAAAGAGACAGAGACAGAAAGAAAGAGAAACAGAGACAGAAACAGAGACAGAGAGAGACAGAAAGAGAAACAAAGACAGAGAGAGAGAAACAAAGAGAGAGAGAGAGGGGGATGCTAATCTTTGAATCTGTCAGAGTACAGATAGTCCTCTACTTACGGCCACAACTGGGCCCAACATTTCTGTTGCTAAGTGAGACGTTTGTTAAGTGAATTTTGTCCTGCTTTACCACCTTTCTCGCCTCAGTTGTTAAGTGAAGCCCTGCATTGGTCAAGTTAGTCAACGCTTGTTGTTAAGTGAATCCGACTTCCCCGGGGACACCACAACCGTCGTCAGCACCAGTCAGTTGCCGAGTGTCCCTGGCGTGACCACGGGGATGCAGCAACAGCTGTAACTGTGTGTGTGTGTGGGAGGGGGGGGGGAATGGTCATCGGTCGCTTTTTCCAGTGCCATTGTAAATTCAGTCACTAAAGGAACCGCTGTAAGTCGAGGACTGCCTGAATTTTTCCAGGATTCTGCCCCCAGGGAGGCAGCTGGCCTGAAAAAAAGAGGTTTCAAACATTTAAGGGGCCCCTCGTGCCAGTTTCTCTCCGAGAGACCCCCCCCCCAATGGGACGACGCAAGGACTAAGAATCGCCAAGCTGCGTGGGATCTTATTTTGCTGAATTTTGGCAGCCGACTTGGACGGCCTCCTTCCCTGTCTTGCCAGTCCTCCAGAAATGAGACCTTGGCAGGGCGGGAGACGTCGATCGAGTTCCCCTGCCAAAGAGGAGCTCCCGTCGGGCGCCCGGCCCAGCCCTGGGGGTTAGGCGCCTTCCGAGAGAATCAAATGCCATGAAAATAACATGAAAATAAGGATTTTCATCCAATCTTTTATCTCCCTATTTCCCCGCGGAAAAGGTCCTGCTCTTGCTATCTCGAAGCGCAAGTGCCCCTTAAGAATGACTCTCCAGTGCAACAGTATTTGGATTAACAAGAGTCGGAAGGGACCTCGGAGGTCATCTAGCCCAACCCCACCCGCCCACCCAATCAGGAGACCCTCCATCGTTTCTGAGAGAGGACAGTCCAGTCTCTTCTTGGAAAGCTTCCAAGGATGAAGCTCCCACAACTTCTGAATAACTGAGTAATAACAGAATAACAGTGTTGGAAAGGACCTTGGAGGTCATCTAGTCCAACCCCTTCCTGCCCAAACAGGAGACCCTACACTATTCCTGACAGAGGGAAGTCCAGTCTCTTCTTAAAAGCTTCGAAGGATGAAGCTCCCACAACTTCTGAATAAGTGAATAATAACAGAATAACAGAGTTGGAAGGGGCCTTGGAGGTCATCTAGTCTAACCCCCCCTTGCCCAATCAAGAGACCCTCCACCGTTTCTGAGAGAGGACAGTCCAGTCTCTTCTTGAAAGCTTCCAAGGATGAAGCTCCCACAACTTCTGAATAACTGAGTAATAACAGAATAACAGAATTGGAAGGGACCTTGGAGGTCATCTAGTCCAACCCCCAGCTGCCCAATCAGGAGACCCTACACCGTTTCTGAGAGAGGACAGTCCAGTCTCTTCTTGAAAGCCTCCAGGGATGGGAAGTTCCCACAACTTCCGAGGGCAACTTCCGTTCCGCGGGTTGAGGGTTCTCACTGCCTCGCTCTCTCAATATAGGGAGTCCTCGACTTATGACTTCAACGGCGCCCAACATTTCCGTTGTGAAGTCGGTTAAGTGAGCGTGGCCCCGCGTTGCA